TAGATAGATAGATAGATAGATAGATAGATAGATAGATAGATAGATAGATAGATAACAGATACATACATATCCTTCAAAAGGAAAACCAACAAGCCAACCGAAGGTCAGTGCAATAACAACTCTTTAATGAACTGTATCAAAAGAAATATCCAATCAAGCAATCTTCATGGTGGAGGGAGCTCCAAAAATCGGGTGCTTCAGCTGAAAAGATGCCATCTTGCACTGCGGTTGGAGTTTGTCAGCTACGGACCAGAGAAAGAGAGCATATGCCGGGGTGGAGAAGTCTATCCCAGAATACTTTGAGTCTCTGTAGTGATAGATAAAATATTGACGCTACTTGCACTGCTTCCATGGAAGGCCTCCATGTTTTTCATCCTAGGGTTGTATTGCTGGCTTATAAAATGTTTGATTTATGCAGGACTTTGTTAATGTTGGGAATCAAAGCGCTGCTATAACGCCAGAGGATTTTGTTTGGAACAATGGATTCCTTGGCCAAATTTTTATTTGCAGGTCTCTTGCAATGGAAGAGAATGGCAATACCGCTGTTAACCTGCACAGAAACCCCATACTTCTTGATAACTTTGTGGACCGATGTCTGAACCACTTTTCTTGGGTCAATCACCATTTTCCTATTCCTGACCGCAGGGATGTATTTTGGTTGCCTGTAGATATATTCAAGGATGTTTTCTCCAGGCACAGCATGCCAAGATGAGAAGTTGAATGGAGTTGTGGAAAATAGGCTATTACCATACACATGGTTTTCAAACAGGAAAACCCCAGCTCTTGGATTTCCCTTTTCCAGTCTTTGCATTAGGGATTTCCAGTCTGCATCCTTAATGGGGAGAATCATTTCATCAGCATCAATGAGCACTACGTATTTGCTTCTGTACATGTTACGGTAAAGGCAGTAATTCAAGGCTGCAATTTGCCCATAGTAGCCAATATCTTTGCCACCCATCGAGTGATGCCAGTAAGATGAAACTTTCAGGTACAAATGGATCGGCCAAGGAATGATTTCAACAGTGCCTTCAGAGATATAATAGTCCAAGACTTTCTCCATGAGTGGGCTGCAACTGTTCTTATAAATCATCACCTTTTGTGCCCCC